ACATTTTGCCCCTGTGCCTCAGGTCCTCAGATTGCTATATTTTGAATTCTGGTCTAGTCTTTTCCCTCTTTCATCCCTGTCTGACAGCTGCCCAAAGTGACATTTATGTTCCTGAGTAAAGCAAGCAGTCTTTCTGTCCAATTCTTGTTTGCTACTTTCTCCAGCAGTACTAAGAAACTAATCAGACGTACTAGAACTATTTCTAAAATGAGGGTTTTAGGTTCTGAATTAAGGTGTCTCCTGGGAGTCACATTCATGATCAAGGATGAGGGGATGGATTTTGTGTCCCCTGTGGCTCTCCACTGTGCTCTGGACAGAGAGGGAGGGGTAGCACAGACGCAGGACTTAGAGTAACAAAGTGGCTGACCAGTTTGGGCGCTCCCTCCCTGAACACATGAGGGATCTCTTGGAAGTTCCTCTTCTTGATTGGTCATGTCAGTGACTTGCTGATTACAGGTAGCCTGGACCCTGCTAGGCCAACGTCTATAAATCCTGATCAGCAATCCCCTCCCTCTGCTTGCCTTTACTTCCAGGTTTGGTACTGCCTCCATTTCTTTGCTACATATTTATTGTATTTGGATTTTTGTTCATTTATTTCTCTCTCACACATTATTACATATATGTGTGTGAGAGCATAAGTCAAAAATATTGCTATTCTAGGATTCTAGTTCATACATGCGCAGGTTTATTCTAAACAAAACTTGTTGATAAATGTCTCTGTGATCAGTGGATGGCTACACACCAGTTTTCTCAGTAATATATTGTCTTAATCTTGTTAGGATACCTTCCAAAAAAGGTCCAATCAAAACAGTGGCTTCATAGGGGTTCTTCAGTGCCAGTTAATTCAAGGCAGAGAGTTTATATAATTTCAAGTTATAGCAACTGTTTTTTGAACTCCAAAGGGGTAATCTTTAAAGATTTTCTTGAATGACACAGGATGGCTACGGGGCTTATTAGAAAGAAGTTTTCAGAAAATGAAAAACTACATTGATGAGTAAAAGGACAATAAAATTGCAATGAGGAATTATTTTCCATCACAACAATGCACTTACTCATTCTTCAAGAGCTGTCCTATGAGAATTTCTTAGGGGAAGCCTTACCTCACCTGCCCTACATCCCTGATCTTGCCCCTTCAGATTTCTTTTTGTTTCCTAAACTCAAAAAACATTTCAAAGGAACATGATTTGAGTCCCTCAAGGATGTCAGAACTGCCATTTGGACATGGTGTAAGTGAAAGAGTGCAACGTTCTCTAGGGAAGGGTGAGAGAGATTGAAACACCACTGTCAGAAATGTACAGACCTAGTTAGAGGATGTGTTGAGGAGCACTAACTTCAGATGTTAGTATTTTTGTTTAATAAAGGTTTCTATGATTTTGTTGCAATGCTTTTGGATTTGCCCTTGTATGATAGGCTCCCATATATGTTTGGCATGGCAGAGACAATTTTGGATTAAGTAGTGCCCCGGGACTGAGTCTCAACTCTGCTACTCATTTGCTACATAATCGTGGTGAGTCACTTTACTTCCAAGTCTTGATGTCCTAATCTGTAAAGCGGACATCATGCTACCTGTTATCCCTGTCCTCAATCTGTCATTTACTCATTTCATAATGCATATGTGAAAGTGCTTTGCAATGAAAGTACCAAAGGAAAGTTAACTGTCCATATAATTAGGATTATCCTTGATTGAGCACAAAGAACCCTGGTGGCACAGTGGGTTAAGTGTTGGGCTGCAACTGAAAGGTTGTTGTATCGAACCCACTAGCCCCATGTGGCAAAGATGAAACAATCTGCTTCTGTAACAATTTCTAGCCTCGGAAACCCTATGGAGCAGTTCAGTGATGATTGTTTTTGTTGTTTCTTTTAACTATTGAGTTCTCGGTGCTTTTTGTACATTCTCATTTCATCTCTGCCCCACACCTTATGTTTATATATCATTGCTCCCATTTTGTAGATGAGAAAGCTGAGGTCTATAGACGTAAATGCCCATCCAGGGATCTGAAGTGGCAGACCCAGGAATTGAATGTTTTTGTTGCTATTAAGTGCCTTCAGGTCAGTTCTGACTCATAGTGACCCTGTATAGAAATTTTCAAGGAGCGTTTGGTGAGTTTGAATCACCGATCTTGCGGTTAGCAGTCCAATGCTTCTCTTATAAGTCCACACCATATGTGTATGCTGTGAATAAACTGTGATAGTCTCTCAGATCTTCCCGATGAAGTCCTACAAAGGGGGCTGAGTAGACTCTCCAAGGTCCTAGTCTCAGAATCCTGAGTCTAGCCATAAAAAAACCTCTCATTTTACGGAACAAGCTTGTTCTGATTACCTTCTCCTTTTCAGCAACCAGTTTGGGCGTTTTGGGTTGAAAGCTGCGCTGCAGTGTGTCTAGAGAGAAGGAATGGGATTAGGGGAGTCTGGAAAGAGGGCATTTGTGTGCCAGGATCCTGAATCCTGGAACCGATTCAGCCCGCTGTCATTTCCCTCCCAGCTGTTTCAGCAGAATTTAGGTTTTGTTTGGGAATGTGCCTTCTGGAACCTCCCTCTGAGCAGGGCATAAGTATCCTGACAGGCACCAGAGGGACAGCAGACACTTGTACATCCCTTAAGGAGGTGTGCCTGGGGTAGAGGCTTCAGAGTTAAGGTCACAGAGGCACCTTTTGGACAAGACCCTGGGTTCTGGGTCACATTAGCAACTGCTCAGCTTCAGGCAGCAGGGGAATATGGGAAGAAGCCCTTTCCGTAATCTCCTCTGGAAGGCTAGCTTTATCTGTGTGATAGTACAGCTCCTGCTTACCCACAGGAAGCTTACCTTTGGGTGTAGATAGTACTAGAAGGTCCCTGGCATCCCCAGGCCTGAGACTGGCAGGCACGCTGAGTCAGCAACCCTTTGTGATCAGTGCTGTGGGAGCCCAGAGGAGGAAGTGTTGGGGAGTCCTGCCTAGGAAAGGAGAGGTTAAGCCTCTTCTGAAATCTATTCTTGCTGCCTGTCATGCTGTCTGTGTTTGGGGAGTCAGGAGGTCTGCCTGGGCCGATTTATGTGCAGAAGTAAGCTTGTGGCGTGGGTAAAGGGGAGTGTGCAATGGAAAATCTTAAGTCCCTTGAATCAGGAGAGGGGAAAGTTTGGTGGCTGGTCCTGCTTCTTGACCTAGTCTTTCGCCTAGTGACGTGGCTTGTTGACTCATGAACTTGAAGGCTTTGAGATGTGTCCCCTCTTGCCTCTGGTCCCTCTCCTCCTCCTCACATGGAGCTCCATGAGGGTCTCTATCCTATTGACTTTTATGGCTCTGTGGGCTACCTAATTATATGTAGAGGATGCACCTCCCTGCTTCAGCCCTGGGAAAAACTTTTCTTCCCAGTGACTCACCTGAAGGCCACAGCACCATGAGAGGCCATGCGCACAGGGGTGTGGGTTATGTGCACGTGGTGTGGGGTGGGTACTTGGGTAATTGTCAATAGTCTGAAGGCAACTGTGGCTGGATTTGCCTGGTTAGTCTCAATGTGGCTTGCCTAGTGGGCTTTCATGCTTGTCTTAATTTGGGGTCATGTAGTTACCAGGTTACCACCTGTCTGCAACTTTCCCCTTGGAAACCAGGAAGCTTTCTTCCTCTTTTCCTCCCTTTGGCCATCATTTCCCTTTTTAACTATAGTTTGACACAACTCGTTTCCCTGGCTGTAGAAGTCTGCACAAGGCACTCCTATATAGAAGGGCAGTCTAGACACCTGGCCTTCCCAGTCCCAGGTTAGCCCCAATTCATTGTGTGACTTGGGTAGATCATTGCCCCTCTGAACCTCTGAACTAATTAACCCCATTTGCTCAAGGAGTCTTCCTTCTTCCTTTCAAATCCAAGAACCACATGGTTTTATAAAAAGATCTTGTCCTGGGAAGGGTGACGGTGGCATTAGGAGACTTCTCATGGGCTCACAGTCCTCTATTATTATTTCCTGGGGGCTTGGAGGGGAGAACTTGGAGGTGGACATCAGGACAGTCTGCATGGAGGAGGTGGACTAAGTACTCACTGTGGGAACCAGAGGTGGATGGAGGCCCTGGGGGTAAGGTCAGATTGGGGGTGAGGGGTGACTGATTTCAGCACACACACCCAGGCATCCTGGCCACCTGCCCTGGAGTCCGCTCATCAGCAGGATGGAAGCCATGTCGGGCAGGTTGGGGCAGTAGGGAAGGTGAGCATGTTTATCTCTCCATGCATCTGCTGAGTCATGGTGCTGGGCCCATGGCTCCTTCCCTGAGACTCAATCAGCCTTTACCATGAACCCACTATGGGCCAGGCCTGGGGAGTTCAGGTAGACACAGACTGGGGCTCGGGGGCCTGGCTTCGAACCCTAGCTCGGAATGACTTTGTGTGTGGGCCTCTCTTTAACTTTGTGAAACAAGGGAAGGGACACAGCTCAGCCTGCTCAGTGGCACAGGTGAGGACATGCTTTTGTTGTTCATGGCCTCTTTTCTGTGTCACCTTGGAACAGGTGTCTACCTGACTGGTGGATGTGTGTGTGTGTGTGTGTGGGGGGGGGGGTCCTACTACTGTTGCAGAGGAAGGGAAAGGCCTTCTGAGAGGTTCAAGAGCCTGCCCGATTTGACCAGCTCTGTGCAGATGGGCCGGGGCCCACATCTGATCCAGGGGGCACATGTAAGAGAGGGTACTAGAACCAGAAAGCGGAGTGGGTCTTTGCATAATAGGCCAGAGAAGCTCTGACTCCTGAAGGTCATTTATGATTCAACCACCTTTACCATCTCCCCAGCTCGAGAGAGGGTTTTGCCCTAGAGTCCCACAATGCAGTGGTTTCTATGGAGAAGCTTGGGCTATAAGTCAGGCCATTCGTTCTAAACTCCAGACAATTTATGGCTGCTTTCTGACCATGGAAGTGTTGGCATACGCAACCCCTGGGAGAGTCCCCTGGCAAGGGATCGCAGGAGGCTGCCAGTCAACTCTCCCATCCCAGTCCCTATTCCCAGTGACATTAACTTGAGCTACCTGGTCCTTCTTATAGCCATGTCGATGACCCTTTTTGGCTATATGCTGACCTCCTCCTTTAGGTTTGAGGAAATGGAAGTAGGGCTGCTGGGTGAGTGTCACATCTGCCAGAGGTGGGTTGTGGAAGAGTAAGAGAAAACTTCTGGGGAGCTGAGGCGCTGTTGTCCACCCCTGACATCTAGCACATATTGGGTACCCAGGCAGTCTGAGAAAGTCCTTGTTGTTCATGCATCCTATTCCAGTGATAGCACCTGATGCTCCAGGATCCTTGGTAACCCTGGTTAGGGACTTCATTGTGTCTACCCCATGACAGGGGCCAAGCGTTGGCTCTGCTCTCCAGTATCTTCTCCAATTCCCTGCTGCCCAGTAAACTACCAGGGCCTTGGCAAACTTATCTCTAGGGAATGTTCTGGGCGGATGTGGCAGTCAGGTTTGGGCTCGCAGGGCCCTGGGCTCTGAGACCGTTGTAGCAGCTGATGTCATGCACCTTTCTCTTCAGAGCAAACCACTGGGATGCATTCCATGGTGAGTGCATCTCTAGGATCGGGGTGTGGGGGTGGACTGGGGCAGAGAGGTGCTTGGGCTGGCCCAGGGCCTGCTATGTGCCAGGCTACCTCAAGATCAACCCCCATCTCTCTTACCCCCACCCACAGACACTTTGAAGGGAATAAAGGTAGGGGAAGGAAATGCTTTGGAGCCCCTTCCTTGCCTGGAACTTAGTCAGAAGAACAAGCTTTGGAGTTGACACTGTTGTAGGGAGTCCCTTTGGGGAGGACTTCTGGTCTCTTGTTTGGTTGTAGGGTCTGACCCAGCCTGATTTGAGTCACTCGGTGTGAATGGTCAGCAGGTCTGACCCCAAAGATGGTGACATAAAAGGGTCTGCAAACATGGCTTTTGCCTCTTCTCAGAAATATGTCAAGCCAGACTTTGCTCTGCTCAGCCTGAGCCTTTGCCAGAGGCTGGATCCTGACCTTGAGGAGGTGCACGCCAGGGGAGGCTGGGGAGCCCCGATACTTTTTCCAGCCTGCCTGGGGGCTCAGGCTAGCTGAATAAGTGCCTTGGTTGTATCAGACAGTGGTCTGTGCCCAGAACTTTCCGACTGAAGGTTGCCCTGGAAAGACAGTTTGATGAGGCTGCGTGGATTGGGGGAAGGACTACCCCCTGACACCCGCCAGGCCCTCTATATTCGTTTTGCATGCCCCTCTGCTCCACTTCAGAGACCATGGTGGAGATTTATTCTGGAGGATAAGAGCTTCAGGTCTTTGCTAGGATGAAGTAGTCAACTGTATACCTGCTGGAGGAAAGCTACCTGGCCTCCAACCCCTCTGTCTTCCACTTCAATAACTGTGTGCCTTTGATCTGATTATTGTCTCCTTTGCCTAGAAGATGGACATGGTACTGGAGTGAAGGTTATTTTGAAGATGAAATTGATTCAAGCACATACTTGGATTAGGGCCTGGCACATAATCCACTGCCATTAAGTCTTCCAACTCATAGAGACTCTGTGTAGGGTTTCCAAGGCTGTAAATCTTATGACTAGCAGCCCAGTGCTTAGCCCACAGTGCCACCAGGCTCCCTGCACTTGTTGTAGCTATTGTTGTTAAGTGTCATTAAGGCGATTCTGACTCATAGTGACTCTGTATAGGGTTTCCTAGACTCTACGTCTTTACGGGAGCAGAAAACTTATCTTTTTCCCCTGGTGGGCTCAAACCATTGACTTTGTGGTTCACAATCCAGTGCTTATCCTAGAGAGCCACCATACTCCCTCTAGCACATTGTTGTTGTTATTAAGTGTTGTTGAGTTGGTTTTGACTCAGCGATCCTGTCTAGGGTTTCTGAGAAGCAGCTGGTGGGTTTGTACAGCTGCCCTTGGGGTTAACAGTCCAGCGCTTATCTTACAGTTTCGCACCAGGACTCCTCTGCCACCTAGTAGTCAATCAATATTAGTTGCCATTACTGTTTTGTTTTGTTTTTTTCCCCCCATGGCCTTACTGATGTCCTCAAGTGACCTCCAGCCTAGGCCAGACCCTGAGATTCTCCCTGAGTCTCCCACTGTCTGAGTCCTCTGCTACTTTCCTTTCCTGGTACCTGGAATCCAAAGACTGGGGCTGCCCTTTATCCACTTTGGCACCTACTGTGTGCAAAGGCTGTTGAGACGTACAAGCTCAGTGCTGGGTGTTTGAGGCTGTGTGAATGTCTTGAGATAAAGAGGAAGGTCTTTGGGAAGGAGTCAGCCTTAGTGTGAAGGTGCCCAACTTCTTTGCCCCAGAGTGGTCGGGGACTTCACCAGCAATGTGTGGAGCCCAGCCAGCTTCTTTCAACCTGGTTTTCACAGGAAGTTCTATCTTCTGTTATCCAGACAGCCCTCACCCTGCCATGGGAGCTTCTCAAGGATACTCTACCCTTCTTGTGTTTCTATCTAGGCTTCCTGGTGACCTTAGTGCCTTTATCTCAGAGGAAGGTTTCCAGATTCAGGTTAGCTCATTGTTCTTCTGGGCATGGGAGGAGAAGCAGTATGCTTCTCTGTCTCCAAGGGAGAGCAAAGGGAACCGAATTTTTCCTTCCTTGGTATGTGATTGGCTTCCAACCACATTCTGACACAGGTAAAAAATTTGCTCTTGAGATCTTCCAGCTTCCATAGCTCCTGCCCACACCTGGTGCCCCAGTTCTAGAATTGGCCCCTCTGTACCATATGGAATTGATTTGCCCTGTAGTGTGAGTGACTAGAAACCTCCCTGCCCTCCAGAGACATTTTTCATTTTGAAGACCAAATTCTGCATTTTCAGGGACACTGGTAAAGATTTTGATGTTAAAGTGGAATGCGCCTCCCTCCTCCCCACACTAGCCACACACATCTGGAGACTGGCTGGCTGCAGGTGTGTCCAGGCTGCAGTTTCTACCTCATTGAAACTTGAGGAGACTTTATTTAGCCAGAGCAGGGGGAGGATGTCACTGGAAACCCATGTACCAGAGGTGTCAAGCTCTAGCCTGGCAGAATTTGGGGGGCTGATAAGCTGGAGAGCAGTTTTAGGGGTTTCAATGTCTTTTGTCTAGGGAAATCCTGAACTGAGCTTCTGGCCTCAGTTGGACATCTTGGGCTGGAAGAGAAATAATCTTCTGTTGAGTAGAGGAGGGGTATGCAAGCAACCCCCATGGGTTGTGTCTTAAGTTGGTGCATCTCCAGTATCCTGCCTAGGCCCCAAGCTCCTCAGGAAGCAGAAATCAATGAAACCAAGCAAATGTGATCCAATAACACCACTCCTCACAGACCTGCTCATGGCTGAGCGCTGTGTTTGTGTATGCTACTCCTGAGTGGGCAATCTGCTGAGGTGTGAATGGCCACCTGGCTGCCCTCCTCCCATTGGGAAGGTTAAGCTTGCCTCCCCAGCCACACACTGTTAGGACTAGAAGCCCCCTTGCCACACCTAATTCCAACCTTCATTATGCAGATAGGCAACCTAAGGCAGAGACTTTTCCAAGGTCTCACAGACTCTAACCAGGTTTTCCCAGTGCTAGGTCTGGTCACTTTCCCTTAGCTACACTCTGTAATCAGTGCCGTGGGCCTCTGGTGGGGGTGGTTGGCCAGTCTCAGGGACAGACATGCCTTGTCTGGCTCTTAGGAGCAGTACCTAGGCACAGAGGCTACTTGGGCCTGGGTTGGGCATCCTTGCTCAATGCCTGAGTGAAATCGTGCCCTGCCTGGCCCACCCCTGTCTCTCTGGCAGGTGGGAAAAAGCAGAGGAACTGGTCTTCCAGCTCCAGTGGCTACACACCCAGCCCTCAGCTGAGCCTGTTCCAAGACTAGTCCTGGCACGCGGGCCCTGCCAAAGTAGGCGCCAGCTCTGTGGCGTTGGGATGCCAGAGTCCCCCCTTTCCTCAGCAAACAGCCCTGGCCTTCATTAGGAGCCCCACCACCTGTCCCAGTCCCCTTGGGTCCCCCAGGCTGCAATATAGGACAGTGGGAGGGGCCCAGGGTAGAGGGACTGAGCTCCAAAGCCCTGAGTTTTGGTGCCATGAGAAATGCTACTATGGAGGGGTCTTTAAAGCCAAATGGCCGCCACTCCTCTACCCTGGCCCCTGAAGGCATTGAAATCTGTCTCTGGGTTGCAGGGTGGGGACTGCTGAGGTCTTACAGTATGGGAGTAGTTATAGTCAGGATGTCCCTGAAAGGCCTTCCCAGTGGAAGTGCTGACAGGCTTGGGGGAGCCTTGTTGCTGCCCCATGGCAGATGCACATCTTCAGATGAAGGCCTGCCCAATCCCTAGTCTCTCCTGCCCCGAGCCGTGCCCATAGCTCCCTGCCGTCATACCCACTGCAAGCCCCAGCTTGCCTTGAGTCTCAGTGGAGAGAGGGTGAACTGATAAATAAATCCCTATGCCTGTCAGGTAAGAAATATAGATGCTGCCTTGAGGCACTGGTAGGGACCCCTCCCTCCTGGGAATATCGTGAGTGGAAGGTTTAGGATGTTGAGGCCAAAGTCAGAGTGAGGCCTGTGTATGTCTCCTAGCAGCCTGTGGTTTCTCCAGGTCCAAGTTAGGAAACAATCCTGTGGAGAGGAAGTGATTTGACCAAGGCCATCTTGAAATCCAGCGGCGTCTTCCTTGGCCCCTGGGCTATGGCCCTTCCTTTCCCACCTACATCTAGCTTGGCTCTCTGTGGCCTTCTCAGCCTCTCCACCCTCCTGGGCCTTATAGACAAGGAAGCCTGTCAGAGCCATGGTGGAGCTGATGGGTCATTCAGCAAGCTCCTTCCCATCGTCTTTATGGCAAACGGGTCGAGAAAGGCAGAGAGATGCCCACATTACCAGCATGTGGGTAGAGGAGCTTTAACTTGAACCTTTGGTCCAGACTCCTAGGTCAGAGCTCTTTCCATCACTAAGATCCTGGGATCTGCCCTTTGCCTGAGAGCCTTGTTCTAATATGCTTTGGGTTCTTTGTTTTTATTGTGGTAAAATATGTGTGACATAAACTTTGCCATTTCAACAACATGTATGATTTATTTGCATTAATTGTATTAACTGTGTTGTGCAATCATCGCCAGTATTTGTCTCCAGAACTTTTTCATCACCCCAAAGAGAAACTCCGTACCATTAAGCAGTAACACCCATCCCCCC